CAACGACAACAAGAATGATACACACATATATATTAGGATTAAAAAGATACCTATGAGCAAAAGAATTAAGAAGTATAATTATAATTTAATGTCTTGATCGTGTATTATACTTTTTTTCTTCTTTTTTTTTTTTCTTTCTTATTCTTCCAGAAGTAAACAACTCCAGCGATTGGGGTAATAAATTCCTTTGAAAGCAGATGGTTTCCAAATTTTTGCTATGGCATATTTAAACATAATCTAATCAGGTACAGATTTAAAAAAATCATTAAAAATAACTTTTAATAATAGATTATTATATGATTTTTAGCAGATTATTCAGGGCTTTAAAGAATTAAAAGATACTTATATAACTAATATACTAATCCATATCAAAAGGTTTTCTTGATTTGTGTATAAATAAAAAGGCACATAATTAATGCTGAGTTTTCCAGTTTCATATTTTTTCTATTTTCATATTAAATCATGCTCATTTATGAACTAAATGAAACATATATTGCCATTATCTACTAAGAGCTTTTTTAAGAATAAAGTTACTTTTCATATTTAACACATATATCGGCTTTAGTAATATATTCATAGTTAATTTTGGCTTACCTTGCATTTATAATCAGAATCCAGTACAAAAGAATATTTTGCTATGTAAACTTTTATGATTATATAAAATTTTCAAAATAATTTAGATAAATGCTTTATTAGTGAGAAATTGTTAAAATTTATACTAATCTATAAATTCCTATTATCTGTAAATATATAAGTATCTTCAAGGTGAAATATATATTGCATTAAATATGAGAATTGGAATGAAAATATGAAATTAAGAAAAAACAATATTATGTATTTTTTACCATTATAGAATGGTTTGCCCACTTAATTTATAAAGGTTATAGTGAAAGTCAAATGACATAACAAAGTCCACTAAGACAATATTCTACATTCTAATCCTCTAAGGGGCAGCGATTGGTCTCACATGTCTAAAGGAAAGAAGACTGAGGAAAATCGACAATGCATGGAAATAATTAGACCAATGGACCAATGCACCATCAGTCTCCATGACCATAAGACCACAAGATTTAGATGGTGCCTGACTACCAATACCTGGTGCCCTAAAAGGGATCACAATATAAGATCCTGAAAAGAGTAGGAGAAAAATTAAAATGACACAATTCAATAAGTGAATGAATGAATACATACATACATACCCAAGCTTGGTTCCCTAGACAGATCTACAAAGGGAATATTAACAGGAGGGATGTATGTACACCTTGGAATAATCAAGTATGTACACCTTAGAATAATCAAGTATGTACACCTTGGAATAATCAGAGCAAAAGAATAGTATTTATCCAAGGACAAAGTTTAGAAGGGTTAGAAATGAAGGAAGGGTAGAAATAACAACTCAGGGAGGAAATGAAATAAGTGATGTTATTATAAATTACATGAAATAAATCACATGAAACAAAGCATGTATGAATAATTGAATGAAAACTAATCTGCTCTGCAAACCTTCACCAAATTTACAATAAAAATTTTAAAAGAAAACAAAATGGATGGTATTAAGAATTTGTTAATGAAATTTGTCACTATTTAAATTGTGTTTTGAATTACATTCTTTTAGAATGCTAAGCTTATAAAGAAATGGTTGCATGACAACTAAAAAATATGGTGATAAACAAATTTTTAAAATATTTGTTCATGTGCTGCATGAGTCAAACATTAAAGTAATAGCTTGGATATGTTTTATTTAGGGATATAGAGTTAATAACTGGTAAATCCAGGACTAGAAAACAGTTCTGGCAATGTCCAAAAGTATCAGGCTCTGTGTGGAACTATCTGAAAGTAATTTCACCAAGTGCAAAGTCAATATAATAAATTCACTGGAAACTAAACATTCCGCGTGTTCCAAATGTATCATGGACAATGGAAATGAAACCATTCTCACCTTTGTTAGGGTATCTAAACAACAATAAGAGAAAATCTTTCTAAAATGAATCAACAATTTCATTTTCTAGAATGATGACTAAAAGCAGTGAACAGCTCTGTTAGGCTAGCAAAAGCACCTTCTAGGGTGTTAGTACTCACATTGAAGCCCTTTGCTGATGCAGACTGTAAGCCATCCTCATTGATGTCCCTGCCAGACCACCCAGGCTGCTCAGCCTGGAACACAAACACACATCCCAACTGTCACCATTTGCTAGTAAGTTTAGATAGAAATATATCATCCATAGTAGTTTTCTAGACAAAAATGTCAGCATGGCTATATTTCAAGGCAGAAGAAACTGGACTTAAAATGTTTAAATCCATGATAGTTTTCCCCCCGCCTGAATTCAGAACTATGCTAAAAGAGCACCAACCAATGACCACTAATTTATAGGCACCTTAAGTTTTTCTTCTTTCTTTGTCCCCAAAGAAGTTGTGGTAGTTATATAATCATTTGTCAATTTGAAGGGTAGGGGTGTAGGGGTGGAGTCTAGCCTGTCAATCAGGTCAGCCAAGGAGGCCTCTGTGTGGGCCTGGCTTTCTCCTGAAAATTCCCGGGATTCCTGTATTTCCTGCTTGGAGGCAGAAGACACCCTCTCTCTGCTCACTTCCTTGGAGACACTCTACTGACAGGACACATGGCACTAGGCTGATAGAACCCACGCCCTGCGAACTGGAAAAGCCACATGGAGACCCGTGCTGAAATGCTTATACCGCCACCGGACCCAAAGACTTGCTACCCACTGGCCTGCATTCGGCGTCACTGCATGTGTTTTGTGAGTCTGAAGAGGACTTTATAGATCGGTATCGGACATATATACTAATATCAGACTTATGGACTAGGACTGGACTGCTTTCTTAATGTACAATTACCCTTTAAATGAAACTCTGTCTCATACACATATGAGTTTCTATGGATTTGTTTCTCTAGTCTACCTGAACTAATACAGATATCAATACTAAAATATTAATATATCAGAATTGATGGAACTACATATCCTACAAACCAAATAATTAGCTGAGTTTTGAAGATTTTTAAATTCTGAATTCAGTTCTTCCACTGCACTGTACCGACTGTGTGCAAAGAGAAATAGTTTGCCAAAGATCTTACTCTTGGTCTAGAAAACTGTAAATGCCAATGATATCTCACTTTATTGTTCCAGTGTGTTTTGCACACTATGATCTGTTGCCTTCATTAATAGAATCAACTGTGATGCTATCTAAAAATAAAATTCTTAGGCCTAAACCTGGTTGAGCGGGATGTGACAAGAACTCAATCATTAATTTAGATGTTATGTTATAGCCAATTAATATGGCCTTTTCAGCCATAATCCCTTATGTGATATATCATAATTCTGGACTTCATATGCCAGTGGCTATAGTCCCATTTTGGAGAGCAGAAGCAGCTAATGAACAGGGATAGGATGAGACTAAGACATATGGCTGCAATCTGCAAGGTAAAGAGTTGGATACCAGCCACTCTGTGGGAGAAAGATGGGGTTTTCAACTCCCATAAACACACGGCTCTTGGAAACACACAATCCTGTAAAGAGTTACAGTCTCAGAAACTACCCTGTCCTAGATGGTTTCTTCTCTCTCTCTCTCCTTTCTCCTAGATGGCTTCTATGAGTCAGCACCAACTTAATGGCCGTGAGAGATTTTTCCTTTTTACTAGAGGGTATGACTTTGTTTAATGGCTCTCTGGGTTACTGTTACTTACAATGGATATAAGGAGTGACATGATAGGGCTGAGAAGAGAAAAGCTGCTTCTGGGGTGGCCTGAGGGGAAACCTGGCATATTAGATTGGTGGGAGGCCAATGCCTACTGGAAGCATCCTGCCAGAGTCCTCAGGTCATATGTGTATAAATAAGAGAAAGTTCAAGGATGGAGAATTGAATATTATATTTGGGTATCATTAAATAGATGAAGAGTGTTCTATGTTAGTTTGCACGGTGGATCCTCAAAGTAACTCCCACCAAACAAGCTTTCCCAGGATGGGCCTGGTAAGAAGGTGGCAGAACACACAGATAGAATTCATCTGTGAAAAACTGTGCGTAGGATTTCCTGCAGTGCCATCCTGCTACATGCAAAATGAGCCCTCTGAGAAGCAGGGGGTGGGATGTCATCACTGGCTAGAGCCAGGAGTGGAATGCATCCTGTGGACCCAGCATTTGGCTTACTTCTCTCTGACCTTTGGATTTTGGATTGAACAGTACCCACCAGCATGTGAGAAAGAACCTCAAACTTTTGTGAATTTCTGTGGGACACTGCAGAGATTTGCACAATGTGAGGGAATATACTCAAGGGAGGAGTCTGGGAAAACGTGGCTGAATAACGTCATGGAAGAGTTGGACATTTGGGGCAATATCAACTAGTCCTAAACTCCTTTTTAGGTAGTGGCAAATTTCTTAGGTGATTCTTATATTTTTGGACTAGGAAAAAAAATAATGATAAAGCAATGCATATTTATCAAATGTTTTCAAAACCCCAAATCAAAATATTTAAAACAAGATATTTACTTTTAAGCATATTGTCTATTGACATAGATATGTGTCATCTATATGACATAAATTATGTATACATAAGGCACCATTATATATATGTATATGGATATATATTTATATACACGAGGGGGTACCCCTAAAACCCCGAATTGCAGGGGCAGGGTGTAGCTTTCACAGTATGCATGTTTGCCGCTGGGTGAGCATCAAGCAATTAATTCTGAGTTAGTGCACCCAGTGGCATTACCTGCGAAGGTTCTCTCTGATCATAGTGAAATTTTTTGTAAGAATAGTTTTGCTCGGATCTTGTTTTTGTGATAACCTATTTAAGAGAACAGGGTGTAGCTGTGAAATTTTGTTTCCTGCTCAGGAAAAATGTCACACGAACTATTGTGATGTTGAATACAGCTTACAAGTACAGTGCTATGGGAAAAACTCAAGTTGTACAGTGGTTTTCTTGTTTCAAAAAAGGTGAAATGTTGATTTATGACAAACCTTGTTCTGAACATATGTCAACTTCCGTAATGGATGAAAATGTTGACTCATAGTGCATTTGGAGCTCATTCCACCAGGTCAATTAATCCAGCTTTTTCTTTAGAGGTTCTTAAAAGAGAGTGTAACTGTGCAGTAAAAAAGGGCTGATCTGTGGCAGACGGGGGACTGATTTTGCCACTACCACAATGCATCTGCTCATACAGGCATCTCAGTGTGCCAGTTTTGACAAAAAACAGCATGTCTCTCTGTCCCCACACATCTTACTCATCTGACCTTGCTCTGTGTGATTTCTTTCTGTTTTCCCAAATGAAAAGGGACATGAAAGGACAGCAATTTGATGAGGTGGAAGAAGAAAATAAAAAAAAAATTAGGGAGGTGCTATCAGCCATCCAAACAGATGAGTTTGAAAAATGTTTCCAAGAATGGAATTGCAGATTTAACAAATGTATTAAGTATAAGGGAGAGTACTTTGAAAGTAATAAGGTTGCTTTTTAAAGAAATTTAAATATGTAGCTTTGAAAAAAATTCTGGTTTTATTGGGTACCCCCTCATATGTCCACATATATATACATGCACATACATATATATACCTTAACATGCATTTACAGGAGTTCATAGTGCCAGTTAATGCCAAAATTAATTAATGCCAGAATTTAAACCCAGGCCTGTCTTTTCCAAAGTCCTTGTTTTTTATTACATATTTACATTTTAACAAATCTTGTTTCCAATTTATTCATCATTTAAAAGATAATAAGACTTGCAGGAGTACATTGACAGGGAGCTGCCAGAAATTCAGCCCAGAGTCAGAAAAGGTTATGCCTAACAGGGTATGTATTCCTGATGTCAGATAGATAAAAGCAGAGAATACTAACAAAACGTTTACCTGTGTTTTACTGACTCTGTGTATATATGCAAAGGCACTGGACTCTCTAGACCATAACAATCTATGGACAACCTTGAGAAGAATGGGAATTCCGGAACACTTCACTGTGCTCCTGAGGGGCCTGTACATGGATCAAGAGGCAGTTGTGCAGACAAGAGAATAGTGCATGGTTTAAAATCAGGAAAGGTGTGCATCAGGGTGTATCCTCTCACCATGGCTATTCAATCTGTATTTTGAGCAAATAATTTTTCAGTTGGATTTCTTGGAATAGAATGTGAAATCAGGATTGCAGGACAGTTTCTTAACAACCTACTGCTTTCATGAACATTGATTGGGAATCGAAGCATGACAAAATCCTTGACAACTTCAATCTTTTCTTCCTTTATCATAATGCGACCTATTGGTTCACATGTGAGGAATTTGGCTTTCTTTACATTGAGTGACAATCTATACTGAAGGCTGCAATCCTTGATCTTCACCTGCAAGTGCTTCCAGTCCTCCTCACTTTAAGCAAGCAAGTCTGTGTAATCTGCATATTGCAGGTTGTGGAGGATTTTGTCTTGCTTGGATCCACAATCAATACTCAAGGAAGCAGTAGTCCAGAGATCAAATGACACATTGTATTATGTAAAAGTACCAATCCCCATTTTCTGTCTGTTCCCAGTAGAGAGAAGATGCGTGCAGACCATCTCCCTGCATTATGGGGGGGGGCTGACAGCCACAACTGAAGCTGGTATTGGTCTGTCTCTTTTCTATGTGTGTAGAGCATTGCTCCAGCTAATGCCTGTGCATAAGTTTGTCTTTCTTGGTGACACTGCCATATGCAAACTATGGAGTAGATTACAATTTTCCAGATGATGTGACTCCTCCTCTGAAATTGCTATTAGGTGTCACTTGCTTGGCATGTGCTTTCATTCATTCACTAATGCGAGACCTATTCACAGAGTTTTGACTGCCAGATACTGAGTATCAGCTAGTCAGAAGAAGGGGTTATGGCTCTAGCCTTTCTGGAGCTCACAGGCTTGGCACTCTACTGGTCAATAAAACAATATCATCCAAGACAATCGCTTAAAAAGGTCAAATTTGGAAACACAAAGCATTCATTTCAGTGCATAAAGACGGGTTCCCTTTTACCTCAAGAAACGAATATTCTTAAATATAATTTTAAATCCAACATGGGCTAAGAACAGATATCTTAAGAGATTGTTTTAACTTCATGCACTAGCATGTGTATATTTAATTTATTACCTTACTATTGCTTCTTTTATTAACTTTGAAAAATCCCAGAAATTTTTTCTTTTCCTTATCTGTTTCATCATCACCAAATGAGGATTTTCTAAAGGTTTCTGAAAGAAACAAAAACAAAAAAACATAGTATTACATTATCTTTGTGTTTGGCAAAAAAGATAAAATCGGTCACTTGGTCAATGTTCAATGAAAAACATTTACTCTTGAACTTTTAGTTAGTACAGGAAAGGAAAACGCTCATTCAGAGTATTTATTCCCCCTCCCTCCCAGAAGAATGCACTTCAGAGGACAGCACTGAAGCTGCAGCTTGGGGGAGGGCACGTCTGATTAGAGCACACAGGAGAATGAAAAGAGATGGAGAGGGAGGGGAACACATCATGGCCCACCAAGTCCTGAGGACTATATTCCTGCTCAGAGCAGAAAATGCACAGAGAGGGCCATAGGGCTGGCCCCACCATGAGACATGATGTCCCTCACTGAACTATAACACTAGGAGGGACAACACTGGAGACACAGTGCAGGAATTCTGTACAATCTGACCCCATCACACTGGGGTGAAACACTAAGGGCATGCAACAGAGCAGCAAGGGGAGCAAAGTGATGAAATCTCTGGGGATTGCCAAAAATAGACTTTGGAGACAGAGTGTGGCACCCCATCAGACTCAACTAAAAAATACTCGGGAAAGCCAACAAACAGACCTTGAACTATTTTTCCATTTTTGTCAGTGGATTTCTTCTTGCTGTTGTTATTTTATTTCGTTTTGTTTTTTTGTTATTGTATTGTTGGTCTTGACTTCCTTTGTAGTTTTGTTTGGCTTTGAGTGGTTTTTGTGCTTATTAGTGTTTCTGCGTGTCTATCTAGATAAGATAGATGGGATAAACAATATGGAGGTGAAAAGAACGGGATCAATGGTTCTGAGGAAGATATGAGAGATGGGGAAGTGGGAGAAAGGAAGGAGGTGGTGGTGGTGGAACCAACCCAGGGACAAGGGAGTAGCAAGTGAACTAAAATCAATGGAGAGAAGGGTGCAGGATGCCTAGTCGGGCTTAATCAAGGGCAATGTAGCAGCGAGGAATTACTAAACCCAAATGAAGGCCGAACATGATGGTGGGACAAGAGGAAAGTAAAAGGAAATAGAGGAAAGAACCAGGAGGCAAAGGACATTTATAGAGGTCTAAATATAGGCATGTACATATGTAAATATATTTATATATAATGAGAGGAAAATAGATCTATGTACTCATATCTATATGTTAAAAATTAAAATAGTAGATGGACATTGGGCCTCTACACAAGTACTTTAAGGCAAGAACACTTTGTTCTAATAACCTGGCATTCCATGATGCTCACCTTCCCTACATGATCACTAAAGACAAAGTGGATACATAAGAAAATATGGTGAAGAAAGCTGATGGTGCTCAGCTATCAAAAGATATAGCATTTGGGGTCTTAAAGGCTTGAAGATAAACAAGCGACCATATAGCTGAGAAGCAACAAAGCCCATATGGAAGAACACCAGCCTGTGTGATCATGAGGTGTCAATAAGATGAGGTATCAGGAATCAAAAACTGAGAACAAAAACATCTACAATTGTGAATGAGGGGAAGTGTGGAGTGGAGACCCAAAGCTCTTGTGTAGGCAACTGGACATCTCCTTACAGAAGGGTCAGGGGGAGGAGATGACCCAGTCGGGGTGCAGTATAGCACCAATGAAACATACGGCTTTCCTCTAGTTCTTAAATGCTTCCTCCCCACCCACTATCATGATCCCAATCGTACTTTACAAATTTGGCTAGACCAGAGATTGTACACTGGTCCAGATACAAGCTGAAAGCACAGGGAATCCAGGACAAACCCCTCAGGACTAACAATGAGAGTAGCAATACCAGGAGGGTAAGGGAAAGGTGGGCAAAGAAAGGGGGAACTGATCACAATGATCTACATATAGATGATTGATATAGATCTATAGCTCCATATAGATCCCCCCTGGGGGATGGACAACAGAAAAGTGGGTGAAGGGAGACATCAGTTAGTGTAAGACATGAAAAAATAATAATTTATAAATTATCAAGGATTCACGAGGTTGGGAGAGTGGTGGAGGGAGGGAAAAAAAGCTAGCTGATACCAAGGGCTCAAGTAGAAAGAAACTGTTTTGAAAATGATGATGGCAACAAATGTACAAATGTGCTTGACACACTGGATGGATGTATGGATTATGATAAGAGTTGCATGAGCCCCCAATAAAATGATTAAAAAGAGTATTTCTCATAAAGTCTTTCAAGTATCCCAAAACTATTTTGGGAAACTCTAAAGGTTTATGTAATCCTTTGATGATCATGTGTGTATTTTCCATAGCTGAGGTTGGTCCCTGTATAAGATTGAAAAATCATTGAAGAAATAAAAGTTCTAGGACAGCACCATTCAGGAGTGGACATGTTGTACATACTTAATTAAAAAATTTCTAGCAGCCATATTTGAAAAGTGGAGAGAAACAAGTGAAATCAATTTCAAGAATATTTAAAATTTAACCCACTATGCCCGAGATATGATCATTCATATGATCAGCAGATTAAATCCACCAAGCCCTCTGTGGGAGCAAGATGGGGCTTTCTGCACTGTGAGGATTTACAGACTCAGAAACCCTATAGGAGGCTGTTTTGAGTCAGAATTGACTCAACAACAGTGGCTTTCGACGGTTATCCCATTAAGTAATTAATATGAAGTTTATTAATGCGATTTTCTCCTTTTTGCCTTTTGGTACTAAGTCTTTAAAATCCAGTGTACTAACTCTTCCCTATCCACTCCACCCATTTCAGTTTCTAAGGGCTCACTAGGCACATGTACGGTTGCCTCAATAAGGTATGGAACCAGAGACGGCAATCCATGCAGACTTTTGTTTTGTGAATTATGAGCGTGATAGAGAACATCAATTAAATAAGTCAATGCTTTTCTGATGAAAGACCCCCAACTCATTTTCTGAACCAAAACAATGGGGACCTTCAGGAGTTTACACAGAGGATCATTGGGCAATTAAATCAGTTCTTTGCAGATCCATATGTCCAGGTTTCCCTTCATCTGCCTCAGCTAGAATGGTGTCCTTTTTAATGACATTCTCGAGAGGGATAACTTTTATTTTTTTTCTTTTAAATGGATATTCACAAAATGTCTCTTGGTCTCTAAATTCTAAATAGTCCCCTTTCTGGTTGCTTTCTTCATTAGAATTTTGGAGTGAGAATAAGCTTTTTCATTTCCCAAGTGAAAGATGAAAACCCGTATTTGTCAGGCAGCTTCCAGTGCAGCCAAGGGCCCTGGTTCCCAAAGTGTGAGTATCCCCTGGGAACTTGTTAGCATTGTGAGTGTTTAAGGACACTTCAGGCTTCTTGAATCAAAAGCTTTGGGTTGGGGACCCAGCAATCCATGGTTTAGCCAGCCCTAAGAGGGTGCATAAGATGGTATCTAGAAATCATACTTGGGAATCGTTGGCTTCGTGGTTAAGAGCATCTAGGTGGGAGGCGTACTTCAAATTATGAGTGCAGTGAGTTACACACTGGTCTGCTAACCAGCCAATCACACTCAGCAGCCATTCCTGCTTCGGAGAAAGATGAGGCAGTCTTCTTCTGTACAGATTCACAGTCTCGGAAACCTTATAGTTCCTTAAAGATTTACAAGTTTTAAATCCCCCATGTTTCTAGAGCATCAGGTTCCTGCATTTCCAGAATAAAGATTTACTCTGATGGACACAAAATGGAGCTTTTGCATAGGGAATTTTATAGGGAGTCTCCTGGGAGAACGAGTGGCCAGCTACACTGTCTCCAAGACTGGTTCTTTGGTGCTTCTGTGCCCCCCCC